AATTATTAAGCTAGCACAATTTAACATTTAATTAGAATCATATATCTGGTTATGCTTTATTTAATAGGCCAAAAAAAAAAATTTTTAGCCAAAAAGTAGATCGAAAAAAAGAAAAAAAATGGCATGCCTTTAAACAGGTGTATGTAATGTTATGTATTAAATACAAACAAAAATCATACATTTTAAATTTTTCAATTATAAAAAAATGTATGATTTTTTTGTTTTGTTTTTATATATTGATAACTAGATCACGCTTGTCGTACTCACTGGGTTTAACTGTTATATTTTATCTGAAAGAAAAATAGGTTACTTCGAGCAATTGCTATCTACTACATTTTTGATAACTATATATCTGCATATCTGTAGAGATATTATTCGGTTTGTCTATACTAATAGACTATAATCTGTATTAAGGCTAGTTTATAGCCGAAATAAATTGGTCTAGACTTAGTTTAATACTAGACTAGCCTAAACCAGTTTAGGCTAGCTTGAACCAAACTAAACTTTAGATCATGTTCAAGTTTAGGTTCGATATTGAACTAAACCTAAACCTGAACCTATTTTGTAAAGGTGTTTGCATTTGGTTCAGGTTTGGTTTGAAACTGTTCAGGTTCAAATCTTCTGCCCTATAAAAAAAGTGATCCGGGATGGGAATGTTCGAGTCCCGGGGTACGCATAGGCACGTTGTACAGAATTCCACGTGGTAAATGATACGTGATGGTTCATCAAAGTGAAACGTTCACATAATGACAAGTTTCAAAATGATACGCGTTGGCTTATTTTACGAAATGGCACTTGTTTGAGGTGATACGTATTGGCTCTCATCTCGTGTTTTGTGTCATCCAGTAAGAGCGAAGGATCTTGTGTAACAAAACAAACGATTTTTTTTAAAAATAGCACGTATCTCAAAACTTTCACCTATGAAACTGTTCTTAGTGTCTTAACAAAAAAAAAGAATTCCTCGCAAAATTTTACTATATGCGTCGTTGTCCCTGCTTTCGCTACATTTACGTTTTATTGCCAGTGCCAAATCCCATGCCGATTCGACTAGTAAACTGTTACAAAACCCGAGCCATTTACGGTTTATTTGGCATGGGTATCTGGTCCAGTACGGCCCCAAAAAAAATTCAGACCACGCACGTGCAAACCCAATTATTGACTTGTGTCACAAAAGCCCATGTGCCAACTCATGCTGATTCGGTACATTTTTTTCATAAGGCAGACCTGAAATGCTCATTTTGTTCAAAAGTTGTTCTGTAATGTATATATGCAAAAATTTTTTACATTATTTAAAGAGATTGAGAGTCGCAAATGTATTCATTATATCGTTGAGTTTGGGTTGATTTCTTATGCGCATTCGTATTCGACCAAATAATTTTCATTTTTATCAAGAAACGAACGTTTGCGTTGATGATAGCATTTCTGATATCTTCCCTGTGTTTGTTGGAAAATGATTCATATTGATTATTTCAATTTTCTCAATATCATATCTTGACAAATGATCGATCTAAATGGAATTCTATATAAAGCAGTAAAAATTTAAATAAGTTCAGACCGCAATTTGTATTAGTAATAAATTCAAATGAATGTTATATCGGTCTTTCGTCCGAATGGTAAAACAAGTCGTCAACTTGTATTAGTAATATATTTTAGATGAATTCTTATGGCGCGTAAATTTGTTTCTTACATTCATTAAAGTATTTAACACTATTTCTCTGTTTATATCCACAAACTTTTCGCGTTATGATACCTGAATCAAGACAATTTGAACAAAATCTTTGACTGGTACAAAGTTGAGCTCAACTAAAATGGCTACTAATATTAATTCCAAAACACAGCATGAATAATTGCAAACTAAAGTAAACTTATATTTATTACTTTTCATAATTCAAAAAAAAAATTATTTACAAAAAAAAATAATAATTCTAATCATATTCAAATTCATATTTATCTTTAACTTCGATTAAATAATCTATAAGGGGTTCATATTTTGATTTATAGATGGAAGTCAATGAAATCACTAAATTACTAAAGTTTTCATCCACTTTAATTGCTCTGATAACTTTATTCCCAGCATTTACGAATTCATTAACTGTACTTACACCAATTTTTTTATCTAATAATTGTTTAAACGTACGATCTGTTTTGATAAATTCATCGTATCTTTCTCAGATTTTTTTATATTGCCCTAAACTGAATTTCCTTTCTTTAGTTTCTATTTGTTTCAAAAGGAAATCAGCAAATTCTTCTTGGCATTTAAACTCCCATGTCAAATTCGTCAGTTATTTGTTCAGGTAAATCTGCGTTGATTGGATCAAATAAGTTCTTGAAATATGAAATTATATTTTTTTTATCATCCTTACGAAGAATGACATGTTTCAGTATATCGACATCTAAATACGTAAAAATGTAAATTTAAAAATCTGTATATAAATACTCAAAATTTACCAGAATTATCCTCTCCTTCTGTGCTCCTATTTTTATAATTATTAAATATAGCAGTGTTGTTGCTAGACCGGTCCAGTGAATTTCACTGGAACTGGAAGGATTACTGGAACTAACTGGATGAAACTGGAAGATATTAGGTTCCAATGGTAAGTTGTAATTAGACCCTTCCAGTCATATTTTTTTTACCACTGGATGGAAGCTCCAGTGAAGTCCAGTGAGGTCCAGTGAAATTTTTAAGTAAAAAAAGCACATAGATAAAAAAAAAACACCTTTTTTTTATTTATGTAACATGATACAGATTTGGCACACGTGAAGTTATATTAAACGCATATACATAATCAATTTGTGATAGTGCAATCCTGTAATCAAAAAAATCAGACCGAAAATATTATATACAATATTAATTAATGATCGTATATTTAACTTTTTCTTGGTGGTCCATAATCTCAAAAATCATGGAACTGCCAAATTTTTGTAACATTACTTTGCTAGCCTTTAAATTGATACACATACATTAAACTAATAGCATAATGACGATAAGTATCCCTGTTAGTATAGTTGGTTTTCAGGTTATCCTAAAATAAAAAGATTTATTTTTAAATGTCTTTCAATTCTTAAATTGTTTCAAATTATCCTAAATTACCCTATATGCGAAAGCACTAATGATTGCGTAGATGCACTTTTGAACACACTTTACAGATCTACAATGTAGTTTATTATATTCGTTACTAAGTTGTTAACAGTAAAGCGAGTTATGAAATATTTCAGTCATGGGTGATGATGGAATAATTATGATTGGTCATTAATATATATAAATAAATAATTGGCGATAAAAGAATGAACACAAAGCGTTCGAATATTATCAAGTAGTTTAATTTTAAACTTTACAAAATAGCATGATAATTGATGATCGCCTAACTAAAATTTATTTTAATTTTACTAATATCAAATTTAGGTGGATACTATATTAAGAACGGTATTGTAAATTGGGGATATATTACATTAAAATTAGTACCCGAATCTTAATCATGGAGGTTTTGTTTATTGTAAATACTGTGAGCAGTGGCCAATGATAACCGAAGAATCATTCATATAATTAATTCTAATTAGTCACTTTTCGTGGTACACGTCACTTTCGATATATGTTACTATCGTAATAAATTAGTAAAGAAATACAAATTAACACTTAAATTTTTATTAAAAATTCATAATATTACGATATTCTTTTATTTGTGTTATTAAAATACTATTATGCCTTTAATATTTAATTGTCGAAATATAAGACATTTTAAAATATATATGTGAAGATATCAAGTTTCAAAAGAAAATTCACGATCATAAAAGTATTAATTATTATTATATAATAAATAAGCTTACAAATCAAATAAATAAGATCTATGAATCACCAATTTCGAAATAAATACAATCACTAATCTAATTCGAAATCAAACACCTGAACTTTAGTTCTGAATCACCTTATTGAATGATTTCTCATATAATTATTTCATTTCAAGCCCTAAATCAAGGCCATTTTACATTATTTCACTTAAACCCGATTTAGTGTTTGAAATGAAATGATCGGCATCTTTAAAATCAAAATGAAATATCGAAATTATATTTTATATAATTTTATTGTAAGGATTTAATTTACTTGCTTTAATTTTAATAGTAGCTAAATAAAAATTTTGTGGTGATTATGGATATAAGTCACAGGTGTTTGTTTACCAGTACAATTCTTTATTTTTGAGGTACATGTAATAGTAAAATGTAAAGTATTCATGCAACTGATTGGATATCATGCATATCACGTGTTTATAATAACCTTAATTCTTATTTGTAACGTTATTGGCTAGTATTATATCGGTTCCAGTGAAATAATCTCTTCCAGTGAAAACTTCACTGGAACCACTGGAACACTGGAAATATCTGGACGTCCAGTGAGGTTCCAGCTTCCAGTCAACAACACTGAAATATAGGATGTATTGGATCATGCAAGATAATAGAGCAAGAGTAATATATAATACCATCATATTTTCGTTTTAATTCTAATTTGCAAAGTATATAAAGAAGTTAATTATTATTACAAACATTAAATTAATCATATATAATTATATACCACTATATCTTTGCTTCATTTCGGAAACTTCAGGAATTACTATGCAGCACAGAGTGTTAAAATCATAAATCGAGGTAATAGTACTGATATTAAATATTTTAAATAATTTACATACTCCCTTCATTTGTAAAGACCCAACCATCTTCATACTTTAATTTTTTACTTCCAATAATACCATAAGAACTTCCTCCATCTTCAAAAACATGAAAAATTTTATTGTCAAGTTTCTTTATTAAATCGCGCGCAGTTGATAAAGCACGTTTTTCCTTTGCAGACAAATTCATGTTTGATAGCGATAGGAAAAAAGAATTTACAGACTTTAATTAATATTCAATATTTGATAACCAAACAATTTAGGAATTAGGCTCAACTTCACACTTTGAGCTCAACCTTTTTCAGTAACAGTGCAGATCGATATTGGATAAACTAAGTGAAGTTTATAACACTTACTATCACAATATACCTTTTTAGATTTATTTTATTTGCAAAAACTTTAATTTATAATACTGTAGAAACTCGACCAGTATCCTAGTGGTTCTTAAAGGTCGTGAAAGCCAATTTGTGTCTTTTATTTTCTCGCAATATTCACATGGTTCCTCGCGATTTTACCTGCCACATATTACTTTCGTGGTGGTGATAACATTGGGAACTTTACTATAGTTATAGTGATTTTTTATTATAACGAGAAATTTTATTTTTTGTTATATTTCTTTTATTTACCGGAATTATTACTAGCGTTATTTTTTTTTATTTGTTGGTGAACAAAATTTAACAATTTCAACTGAATTTTTATTAGTACTCTATACTAACTTAATCATAAGTAAAAATTTCTGTGTTAGGTAAATTTCTTATTCGATTATTAAATATTACAATATATAGACATTATCTCGAAGCTCACCTCAGAATACGATAATGGAGCAATTATTGTATGCAAAACGATGATTACATAGTTGAATAAAAAGAACATGAAAAACAAAATGAAACTTACATAAGAAACGAATATCTGTTATTAGTTAGACTCTTTGATGGTTATTAATTCGATGCAAAACTTGCAGTCAAGATTCACAATGGACTTTGACTAGAATTTTCTTTCAGTACTTTAGACCTGATAGTTAACATCATATTAATATAAGTTAAATGATTAAATGATTTAGTAAATTTATACAGTTTAGCAACTACGGTTAAATGGTTGAACGAATAAATATGATTAATCGTGTAATTTGTAGTTATGTAAGCATCTAAAATGAGCGATTCAAGTTATGAATTTATTATTCAATTTTATTTTATTCACATTAAATTAAATTATTATATTCATGATTAAATTGGTAACAGTAAAGCAAGTTATGTTATGTTTCAGTATTTATACTATATAGTAATAAACGGCAATGTTTCATAGGGCTGGAGCCTTTGTTTTAAAAAAAATTTATAAAGTTAGTGCTATAAATTATACTATAACTAGAAAAATGGCGACGTTTTGTGGGCTGGAGCCTTAATTCTTAGGTCTTACGCTTTAGAATTAAATTTAAATTGTATAATAAATTTATAAAAAAGCAATCTTTGTTCCTCCATTAATCTTTGTTGTAAATGTGCATTTTGCATTATCGGAAAGATCAGTAAGAGTACAAACTCTTGATATACCTACAAATGCAAGACCAGTTGCAAATTTCTTTTTCCAAGATTTATTGCGGCTTATGTTAATGTTAAATCTTGAGTTGTCACAAATGAAACTGCATGCAAGAGTAAGTTCCTAATTTTCCTTCCCAAGTATATTTAATGGGTCGAATTGGTACTACTGTACTTGATGATAGAATAGTTCGATATAGATAAAGTCAGACCCATATAATTGTCCATTTTAATCAGTTTAATGATCTAATATAACAGAGGGAAAAGATTCTTTACAAGTAGGACAATAATTATTTTGAAATTTGCGACAGCATCTTGAAACTTTTTGAGAAGATTACAATCATCAGTAAGTTGATATATGGATGATATTTCGCTTTCTAAATAGTTCATTACATCGTAGACTTAATTATTTTAATCAAAATTCAACTTAAAAATCGTACTTTTATTTAGCCACTTTCTTCATATGTTTGTTTGTCGTGAATTATATTCTCTTTTGCTTTAATATTAGTTAACTAACATTTGCGACGAAGCTAACTGCTGTTCTTCAGTCATTGAACTTTTTCATTTTCTTCTCGCTTTATTTCTTATGACAACTTGTTCATGTGTATAGGTTCTTTTATGCTTTGGAATTTTGACTAAATTAAAGAGAACATGACAATATTTTCTTTTACTTATCAAATATGCTTGCTTACGATTCGATGATATATGCAAATTCTTATTTTTGCTGATAAATTCTAGTATATTTGCTTAGGGAGCTATCACTTATTACGTAATTATAGCCACCTCCAGAGTCAGTTATTTGACAATTGCAAGTTCTAAAGTAATCATAATATAAACTCTATACGATTGGTTATTTTAGAGCTTACAATTGTCAAACGATTGATTACTTTAGAACTTGTAATTGTCAACTGACTGACTCTGGAGGGGGCTATAATTACGTAATAGGTGATAGTTCCCTTATGATATATTTATATTTTTCTATTATTTTTTTATAAGCAATAAGCTATTATTTTATTTATTAAATATTTTTGCTTACGATACGATGACATATGATATTTGATACAGAATATTATTTTCCAACTGATAAACTATTTATTATTATTATTATTATTAAAAGTCAGTTAATGTATTCTATTAAAAGTCAGCTACCAAATTTCAAACCAAGATTTCGATATTCAAACGTTGAACCTAATTTAGGTTCAATTCCGGTTATTTTGAACCTAAAATTTGGATCAAATGAAGCGAGGCCGGACATTTTCTGAAATTCAGTAGAGTAAGGCTTCGATACGATGACATATTTATGATGATATTTATTATTATGATTGATATAGAATAATTCTTATTTACCAACCAATAAACTATTCTTATTAAAGTCAGTAATGTATTTTATTAAAAGTCAGCAATATTTTAAGCAAGATTTCAGTATCCAAACGTTGAACTTAATTTAGGTTCAATTCTGGTTGTTTTGAACCTAAAATTTGGATCAAGTAAAGCAGGAGCCAGACATTTTCTAACATTCAGTAAAGTAAGGTGATAAAATATTTATAATATTTAATATAGTATAATTCTCATTTTCCAAACAATCTTATTAAAAGTCAGTTAATGTTTTCTATTAAAAGTCAGCTACATATTTTAAACCAAGATTTTGGTATCCAAATGTTGAACTTAATTTAGGTTCATCTCTGGTTATTTTGAACCTAAAATTTGGGTCAAGTGAAGCGGGAGCTGGACATTCTTAAAATTTAATAGAGTAAGGCTTGAAGGCTTTCGCCTCACTCCCCTCAGCTCCAGCCAATTATCATAATATCCAAATTTGATTGCTATGATGTTCAAATTGATTGTTATGGTGTCTAAATTTAATTGCTATTGCAATCAAATTCAAACACTATAGCAATCAAATTTGGCACTATAGCAATCAAATTTACATACTATAGTATCTGAATTTAATTGCTATAGTGTCCGAATTTGATTGCTCAGATGTCCAAATCTGATTACTCAAATGCCGAATTTGATTGCTCAGATGTTCGAATTTGATTATTAAAATGTTCAAATTTGATTGCTATAATATCCAAATTTGATTGCTTAGATGTCTGAATTTGATTACTATAATGTCCAAATTTGATTGCTATAGTGTTCTAATTTGATTGCTATAATGTCCAAATTTGATTGGTCAGATGTCCAAATTTGATTGGTCAATTGTCTGAAATTGGTATGCAAAATCACAGGTTTAATAAATACATAAAGGATACATATCGGTATCCCTTTATCATCCCAATATCTATCTTTTATATATCTATTATTAATCTGTTTTGCTATAGTTATTTGGCAGATCTATGGTAGCATAAAGGATGGATATTGGTACAACATAAAGGATAAATATTAGATAAATAAAGAGTATCTATTATTATCCTGATATTGATCTTTTATATGATAA